CTTGCAATTAGATCCTAATGTAATTGCAATTTCAACAATTACTTGACCCTTTCTTTGCTCTTGGACCCTTGAATTTCCTAAAATGTTTAAATTGGGCTTGAGTGATTGGTTAGTATTTGCAATTGGGTCCTTGGTAGTTTTTCTATTTTAGAAATTTGATCAATAATTTACTTTCTTGGAAATTATGCATTATTTGATTTCATTTAAGTTGCAATTGGGAGGGATTTGGTGATTTTGTTTACACTTTACTTTTTAATTGGTGCCTTGACCCTTTTATTGTTTTGAAGCTAATATTTCCTTCATTTCATTACCATTGCAAAGGAGGTAACCTCTATCTCATTGATTTTATTTCTCCTACGTGCTCCTACGTGTTTTGTGTGAATATGCATGCTTTAATTCGCTTTTCATTTTATGTTTAATTGCCTGTTTCGCTTTCTTTTATTTCACCTTTTTTAATTGGCAAGTCATTTGAGGGCATTTGAACCCCAATTTGTAATAGCTAGGTTTTGGTGCCTCTCTTGAAGACATGTTTTAGCTAACCAATGTAATAGTTAGGATTTACTTTTCTAAGTCTTCCCCCCTTAGATTGTAGTAGGCATCCCTTTTTGTAATAGATAGGGCTTGTATGCTATGTGTTTGTGTGTGCCTATATGCCTATGTGTTTAATCGCTTTCCCTAAGATTTTGCATCTAGACAAGCATGCTTATGTGTTACGTGCTATGTGAAACTATGTGTTTTGCATGCCTATTTACTTTTAGTATTATATCTGATTATGTGGATGGAATGTACGTTACCGTGGCTAGTCAATGCTAGTCATGGTCTTCCCTTCGAGCTCTTACAAGTCCAATGCTTGTGAGAGAACGTTAGTTAAGGGTTAGTCCAACGCTAGACCCTTAGGAACCATCCGCACGTTAGATCATGATTATGTGATAAAATCATTTCATCTCATTCATATTTTCACATTTTAGGGTCTTTTATCATGACATCCCTCCTTATATGTATATCCCTTCCCTCATATTTTCCCTTATATGTATATTTCTTACCCCTCTGTATGAAACATGGTATTAGACTTGCATTTCATCTAAGTATTAGACCTAGGATTAGTACATTTGTTTGACTAGACTAGGAAAAACCCCTTGGATATGGGATATGGACGAGTTTGGCTTTTCTAGCCTTAGCACGCTCGTATTCCCTCTATTAAAGGGAACATTGAAAGTCACGAGTATAAGTCCCCCGCACCCATTATGATGCATTCCTTTAGGTCATACACATTTGTATATTATTATTTTCTTTATTTTTTCTTTCTTTCGAGTCTCATGACTTGCATTATTCGTGACTTCTTCGAAGAGTCTTTATTGAGCGTCACAATTAATGTAATTGGTACCAAGTAAACTTTGAAGATACATTTCGACCCCCCGACACCCTCTTAGGTCTAGGGTATGCATTCATATAGTTCATCCAAATATGATAAATTTTTAGGTTAAATTAAGAACATCTTTGACTAAATCACGCAACTAACCTTGACTAGGTTGAAAGGGTGCCTTGGATTTTTCATCCTTGCCTTCCCTTTCTTCAAATGTGACTCCCGAATCTTTTTCTTTGATTTACGTGGACTTGGAGTCGTTTAAAAAGGGTTTTCTACTTTTTTCTTTACAAATTCATTTTTAGGTGACTTGGTACACCTTAACTCTATACCAAGTGGCGATTCCATTTTTCATACAAAAAAACCTTTTTAAACTATATTTTGGGTCAAATCATCGCATTTTCAAGTTCCATTTAGACCCATGTTTTTCATTTTCTTTTCTAAATCAAAAATTCATCTTCCAATCAAAAATTGAATCAAAAGCCATTTTTCTAAACTCGTTTTTTTATTTTTCTTATTTAAAAAATGGGGCACGACAGTTGGCGACTCCACTGGGGATTTAGAGAGTTCAAGCAAATTTGATTTAGTCAAACTTTTTCTTCTTTTACCCTTTTTATGTATCGCATTTGGATGTTTAGGGTTGCATTTTTTCTTTTCTAGGATTTTTGCATTTCGCGCGTATCAACTCACTCCCTCACCCTTTGCGTATGATTGATTTTGATGGATGGATGGTTTATTTATGTTTATCCCACGCTTTGCATTGCATTTGGGTGGGGATACTACCTTAGAGCCTCGCATTGGTTCTCGATCCCTCCCCTCCAAACGAGCACTAGCATACGTGCATACGATTTTTTTATCCCTCATTTATTTTTTCTTTTAGTGGCATGTCACGCCACTCCACCCTATTAGGATTAGGCGACCCACTTGGATGTGTGATCGCGACACGACGTGTGCGTAGTATGATCCAAGGGGTAACTCAATCTTCCGCTTTAAGTTGTGGGTTAATAGCATTTAGCTTTTAGTCGAAGGTTGAGGATTTTTGATAGATTCACTCAGACATGTAGCCGTGACACGACGTGTGCGTAGCAATGTCTGGGGAGTCGCTCGAGCCATCGACAAAGAACCTTGGGATTGATAACCTTTGGTTTCCAAGTCTGAAGGCTCGAGGACCTAAAACTTGTCGAGTCTAGATGTATTAGTGAGCCAATACCTCATGCATCCATGATAGTTTACCTAGGGTAGAGTCTACCTTACCCTATTAGGGACACTATTCACGAGAGGAGGAATCCAACCCCTCTTTTTCTTTTATTGCTTTATCTCTTTATATTGTTTTGCTACAATGTGTTATGTGTATTTATCTGATTGAACTAACTTTTCTTGTTTTGTCTCCATTGCATTCATAAGCCCTAGAAAATAAAGAGTCCTGGTATGGTACTCTCTAGGAATCTACCCTATTTGATGTAACACGTTTAAATTCAATGCTCTGCATTTATACCCTGAATATATGTCATTTTAGACTCACCGGCATACAAAAGGGGTCCCTTTAGGTCACATTTTCATTTGTATACTACATGTTTATGCGCTTTGGTAAAATGGCATCATGCATAAACCCTAGAAAGGGAATGCCATTTAGGGAATTTCGTTGTTAGGATTAAACCCACCTTGATTTTCCCGTGGGTACGTAACCCTTTAAGGGATTGCACGTTTAAATTCTTGCCAACCGGAAAAGTGGGACCTGTAGGTAAGGTACTTGACAACAGCTTTTTGTTTCTAGATGGAAAGTCCTCGCCGAGTCCAACAGATGTTAGTAGTACCATTTGAGGTACAAGGATGGCCCACGTTGCTTTCACCCAGCGAGATTAACCAAGTAGCCGGTCAATTAGGACACATCGGGGACTTCAAGGACATTAAGTCCGATGGCTATTTGGTAGAAGCCTTGGTGCATCTATGGGACCCCACTTGTTCCGTTTTTAGGTTAGGAAAAAGGGAAATGACCATAACAATTGAGAAGGTCGCTGGATTTCTCAATTTGTCGATTCAGGGAATTGCCGTGATATTCTCATTTGTATCTAACAAGGCCGAGTTTTGTCATTTCATTGGGTTAAGGGAATCAGTAATACAAGGGTCGGACCAAAATATAGAGGCAAAGTTCTTATTTGATCGATTTGCATTAAGGGATGGTTTTGAGAGGCATCAAGGGGATTTCTCGTTTACTTCCAAGAAAATGTGGGATCGGAAGAGAGTTTGGGTGTATGGATTGGTTATGGCTGGAACCTATCCTTTCCCTAGGAAAGACAAAAAGATAGCCTTTAATCTCACTAAAATTTTGTATGACCTGTTTCTAGGAATCAAAGATAAGCCGTGTTCTATTATTCCGACTGTTTTGGCCGATATTTTCGTAACCTGCACTACCTGTCAAAAAGGAAAAAAGTTCTTTTGTGGTTCAAATTTGATCTTACATGTATGGGGGATGGAGCACTTCATGAGACGATTGTCTATTCCCGCGAGTCTACCAATGTCTGCATACAACTAGATAATCACACATCGCAAGAGGGTTAGTAGAGATAGTCTGCCGTGTAATGCATCTGAGTTTGTGGATTTCTTGAAGAATGTGACCGATCAAAATATTAGATGGGTATTGGATTGGACCAATTGTATTAAACCTGTTCTTCGCACCCAGGCATCCGAATTTGTTCTCCTATTGGGTACCCAAGGAATCACCGCATACACTCCAAAGAGGTTCCTTAGGCAGTTAGGACGTACCTAAGAAGTGCCGCCTGCACTTGATATGAGTGAGCTCACCATCATTTTCAATGAAGGAATGTGCCCAAACCAATTCCCTATGAAAGACTGGATCATTGAAGCATGGGTGACACTATCTGATGACGAGTGTTTTAGATACGTTTCGGAGCTCCAGCAAAAGGAATTGACGACTCCCCAATACGAAGACTGGGTAAGAAGATCCACTGCACAAGGGCAACAAAATGAACCAGTTGAGAAGATTAAAAGGTTGAAAGCCATCATTGAGTCAAAGGACAGGGAAATTCTACAGTTAAGCAAGTCTATCGAGACACACAAGGGAATAGCAGAGCAAAACAAGCAATTGTATGAGGATGAGCGAGAGAAGCGTCAAGAACTGAAAAGAAAATGCGGAGAATTGTATGATCAAGCTGAACGTATTAGAATTCCAAATGCTAGAGAAACTAGGGATTCGGTATTAGATAGGGTCAGAAATTTTGGCGACCTTGTACGGAACCGCCTTCGTGATATGATGTAAATATTGGCAAGTTTATCAATGATATCAATGAAATTAATCTCTCTTTGCACTCGTACAAAATTGTTGTCAAAACAGGTTTGTATAACGGGTCCCATTTCGAAGGTGTTGCATCATGCTAGGTCCACCCTTGGCACAAAAAGGGCTCCCCAATAGGACATGCATTCGAATTTTTTGGATATTTACTAACTTTTGTCTTTGTCTTTTTCTTTTTCTTTATTTTATTTTGCTAGGAAAGCTAAGCCAGGGCTAAAATCTAAAGGCAAGCCATTTCATATTTTCAAGTAATATTTAAACATAGCTTCTGGTCGAAACCCCATCATAACACGATTCCGTAGTCAAACCCAGAGGAGTCGTGTAAACATGAGTTCACAACCAGAACCATCGGATAGGTCTGCTACTACAGCTCAACCTGAGACTACGAGTTTAGGGGTTCAGTTAACCAAGATGCTTACTAAGTTTGGTGAGATGGTTACTGAGATGGTGGCCCAAAGGAAATTGATTGATGAGATTATTAGCAGTGGAGTTCAACCCGAGCCCATACCTGTCAGACAACTTGAGCAAGAACCTTTTGTCATACCTCCGATTCAAACAACCTCTACTCCATCCTTCCTTATTCGACCATAAGCAACTTTCACCTATGCCACCACGAATTTACCATACACTTACCCTCCTAATTTTTCATCTTTTCCTACTCACATGCGAGGTCTACAATCTCAAGTCACCTCAAATATACCACCTGAGCCACATACCTTTTATCACACTGCTGCTGAGCCCTTCCTGCCAGATCATACTGTTCAAACCAAACCAGAGATGGGAGAATCTTCTGATCCCGTTGATATGAAGCTGCTCAAGCGCCTAGACCGTTTCGATGAATTTATGAGGAAAAGTCAATGGTTAAACAAGCAAGGAGTGCTGGACTATGATGAAATTTGTCTCTTTCCAAATGTGCAATTGCCTGTTGGATTCAAAACGTCAAAATTTAACAAGTACGATGGGACAGGTAATCCCAAGACACACCTCCGTCTGTTTACTAACAAGTTAGAAGGCCCATAGATGACGAGAATCTGCCTCTAAGGCTGTTCCCAGAAAGTCTGGAGGGGGATGCACTCGACTGATATTCCAATCTGAAACCCGAAGAAGCAAAGACCTGGCTTGACTTGTCCAATGCTTTTGTGAGGCAGTACGAGTACAACTGCGAGCTGGCTCCGACACGAACCACGTTGGAAGGAACAAAGAGAAAACCCTCTGAGGACCACAAAACCTACGCTAAGAGATGGAGGAAAATAGCTGCAAAAGTCAAGCCACCAATGACTAAGGATGAAATTATCCGTACTTTCATTAAATCACATGATCCGCCGTATTTTGAAGAAATTTTCCGCATGACTGGATGTTCGTTTGCTGCTATTGTCAATAAACTTGAAGAGTACGATGACTTCATAAGAGTTGGGAAGATCGTTAATGTCTCTGCCCTCAAATCACAGTTGGATGCTTTGCAAGGACTAGGGAGCAGTGGGAAAAAGCCGCAATTTAAAAAGAAAGAAGGGGAAGCTGCCTTTATCTGGGACCAAAACCCTACACCAAGACCTAAATTTCAACACAAACCAACATATTCACCACCGTATCCCTACTATCCAAGTCCTCACCTTTTCTACACTACCAATATCTCCTACCCCCGACCTCGCCCAAATTACACCAACCCGCCTACAGTTTCTTTCCAAATATCTCAGCCAAATTTTCAACAAACTCGTCCCCGACCTCCTTACCACCAGAGATTTTCCCCACCAAATAGACCTACCTATAACTATCCCCAACCCACTGAAACCTACAATCAGAATCGTACCCGAACGTTCACCAACCTAGGTAGGCCTTTGGATCAGTTATATGAGCAATTAAAGGCTGCCGGTAAGATAGGTGTGATTCCCCCTCCAACTTACCCTTATGGCATGCCTGCTGGGTATAATCCACAGGCTACTTGTGCTTATCATTCAGGAGTACCTGGTCACTCCACTGCCAATTGTCGACTTCTCAAATATAAAGTTCAAGACGTGCTCGAAACAAGAGAAATTGTGATTAGGAAAAGAGAAGAGCAAGGACCAAATGTGAGCAAGAACCCCTTGCCGGAGCACACTGATACTGTCGGAGTTATTGTGGATGATAAGGAATTTGAAAAGCTTGTCCGAAGCATATCAAATGAAACAGAAGTGTTTGGGATAATGGATCAACCTTTTGTGATAGAGGAAGCATCGTATGAGGCAGATAAGAGGCCATTCATTTTAGACCTAACTTCATTCAATAGTGCAGCTTTAGAACCTGTGGTAATTGAATTCCCGAAACAAGTGCCGGTTTTAAGTTTACAGCAAGTGCCGTGGAATTATAATGAACCCATTTTGCAAATCGGGGGTAAACATATTTTGAATGATGAAGTGTCTGTTGTTACGAGGTCAGGAAAGATTACAAGTTCATCCACTGCTAGCATCCCAGTCCAAGTAAGCAATCGTGAACCGATTACCAAACCAGCAGTTACCGAAAAAGAAGCATGGGATTTTCTTAAAAGGCTTAAAAGAAGCGAGTACAATGTAGTCGAATAGTTGAACAAAATGACTGCCCAAATTTCCATCTTAGACTTGCTTTTCTTCTCTGACTTGCACAGAGATGCGTTACTTGAAGTTTTGACTAAGGCTCGGATTCCCAAGGATATTTCGGTTGACAATTTCTCGCACATAGTCGGAAATGTATTGACTACTAAACAAATCACTTTTTCTGATGAAGAGCTACCTGCAGAAGGAACTGGTCATAATAAAGCCTTATATGTAGCTGTGAGATGCAATGGGAAAATGTTGCCTAAAGTACTGATCGACAATGGGTCTGCCCTCAATATTTGTCCTTGGAGCACTTTGGTGAAGTTAGGGTTGCAAGATGTCAAATTAAAATCCTCAGAGACCATAGTTCGAGGATTCGATGGAGCCCAAAGGATCCATAGGAGAAGTAAATTTGGTGGTCGAAATAGGGCCCGCTCAATTTCAGATAGCCTGCCAAGTTATGCACTTTTCCAGTGTCTATAATGTTTTACTCGGGCGGCTGTGGATTCATAGCACTGGCGCTGTGCCCTCTTCCTTGCATCAAGTATTGAAATTTGTGGTGAACGACCAGCTGATAACCATTTTTGCTGAAGAAGATTGCATTGTAATTGCCAATTCTGAGCCTGAGGAGGATGGTAACCAAAATGCTTCAGTGTCTTCTTACCGTACAGCTGACATTGTCTCCGTGAGTTGGATAACAAGTGAGGCTTCAAAAGACGAAATGGTTTTGCCAGTGGCCAGTGTTATGATGGCTAAGGAAATAATTCGCGGAGGATATGAATTTGATAAGGGATTGGGACGCAATCTACAAGGCATTCTGAAACCCGTGGAACTCATCGAAAAGAAGGACCTATTTGGTTTGGGATTCCGTCCGACTGCCAGAGATATAAAAGAGATAAAAGCACGCAAGAAGGCAGAAAAGGAAGGCAAGTTAGGTGCTTTAGACATTCCACCACTACGCTATACCTTTCCAAAGCCGGTTGATGTCATTACATCTGAGTTTAGCCCAATTGACGAAGTGGAGACAAGCCTGACTCATTTGTTTGTGGGAGCAATATCCGAAGATTGTCCGTCAGATGATGCCGAATTCCTAGACATTCCCCAAAGAGCTATACACAACTCGACCGCCAAGTGCTTTCCCGTGTAAAAGGAGTTTCGGTAAATCTGCAGGGGGTTGTCATTTACCAAAATTCATGAAAACTATTTCTTGCATATGTAAATAGTTTAATGAAAGCATTTTTAGCAATTAAACTTTTGTCTTGTTTCACTTTGATTTGAAGCTTATGAAAATGCACAAGTAGTTTTTATCACAATTGTTCATTTATTTGTTTATTTGCGTGTTTTATTTGTTTATTGCCTTGAATTTCTTAATTCTTTCAGATGGCCAAAAATAAAATTATTTGACCTTATGGATATTACTGTTCTGGAATCCAATGATGACAATCTCTATATCACTCACGACTTGGAAATTATGCAATTTGAATTGCAAGACGAGAGTGATAATGAGGAGGTATATGATTTTTTCTCAAAAGATCTCGAACAATATGAGGAGAAACTTAAACCGAACCTAGAAGAAACAGAAATTGTCAACATTGGCACTGAGACTGAGGTTAAGGAGATACAAATCAGCATTCATTTGAACGAAAAGCAGAAAAAGGAGATGGTTGAATTTTTGTCTATGTTTCAAGATGTATTTGCATGGTCTTACGATGATATGACTGGCATTTCGACCAATATAGTGGTGCACAGATTGCCTACAGACCCAACTTTCCCACCAGTGAAGCAAAAGCCTCGTAAATTCAAACCAGACATGAGCCTCAAAATAAAGGAGCAAATTGAAAAGCAGCTTAAGACCAATATTATCATTGTATCTCATTACCCAGTTTGGCTCTCGAATCCAGTCCTTGTTCCAAAGAAGAATAGAGAAGTACGAGTCTGTGTTGATTATAGGGACCTTAATAAAACCAGTCCTAAAGATGACTTTCCATTGCCAAACATCCACATCATTCTGGACAACACTGCCGACATGAAATTGAATCTTTTTGTGATTGTTTCGCTGGATACCATCAGATCTTAATGGCCAAAAAAGATAGAGAAAAAACTGGTTTTATCACCCCTTGGGGCACATTTTGCTATCGAGTAATGCCATTTGGTTTAAAGAATGCCGGACCTACTTATCAAAGGACTATGACTACTTTGTTTCACGATATGATCCACAAGGAGATGGAGGTTTATGTGGATGACATTATAATCAAGTCCAAGAAAGCAGAAGACCATTTGATTGATCTAAGAAAGTTGTTTGAAAGGTTGCGAAAGTACAATTTGAAGCTAAATCCTGTGAAATGCGCCTTCAGAGCACCAGCTGGTAAACTGCTGGGATTCATTGTCAGTAAAAAGGGCATAGAGATAGACCCAGCAAAGATCAAGGCAATTCGAGACATGCCAGTGCCAAAAATGCAGAAAGATGTGAACAGTTTCTTGGGGAAGATTAATTTCATTGGAAGATTCATTGCCCAATTAACCGCTACGTACGAGCCACTGTTCAAGTTGTTAAAAAAGAATGTGCCATTGCATTGGAATGAAGAGTGCCAACAAGCTTTTGACAAAATTAAGGATTATTTGCTGCACCCTCCAGTCCTAGTGCCACCCAAATCGGGCGGCCTTTGAACATGTACTTATCTGTGCTTGACGGAGCAATAGGTTGTGTTCTGGGGCAACACGATGATTCCGAAAGGAAGGAGCAAGCCATCTACTATCTTAACAAGAAATTCACCCAGTATGAGGCTAATTATTCATTCATTGAGAAAAGCTGCTGTGCATTGGCCTAGGCAGCTCAAAAAGTTGAGACACTACCTGCTAAGTCACACCACATATCTCATATCCCGCTCTGATCCTCTGAAATATCTCTTGGACAAGCCAATGCCAACTGGGCGTCTGGCCAAATGGCAGATGATTCTTTCGGAATTTGATATTGTTTTCACTTCGCAAAAGGCCGTCAAGGGACAAGCTATAGCCGATCATTTGGCAGAAAATCCAAATGAGGATGACTATCAACCGCTCCATACTTATTTCCCGATGGGGAGGTTTTACTTGTTGCTGCTGCAGAAGATATGAGTGTGCCGTGCCCTGAATGGAGGTTGTTTTTCGATGGTGCACTTATTCTTTCGGAGCCGGAATAGGAGCAGTTCTCGTATCTCCAGAAGGGAAGCATTTACCTTGGGGCCGCTAAATTGCAATTTGCCTGCACAAACAATATGGCTGAGTATTGAAGCCTGTATTTTTTGTCTTAAAATGGAATTTGGAAATGGAAGTTAAAGAGTTGATAGCCTTCAGTGATTTAGATTTACTCGTGCACCAAACATTGAAACTATGGATAACTAAAGATTCAAAGATCCTGCGCATACCATTGTAATTTTCTCAATTTGGCTAAACAATTTCAAAGTTTGGAATTCAGACATCTCCCACGAGCCCGAAATGTATTTGCCGATGCTTTGGCCACTTTATCTTCTATGATACAATATCCGGACGAACTAGGAATCGAGCCTATCCGGATCCAATTCCAGGACAAGCTTGCTCATTGTTGGGTCGTAGACAAATCTTCTAGCAAAAGCCCTTGGTACAATGATATTAAGGAATTCATCAAAATCGGGTCTTATCCTCCAGAAGCTAGTGCAAATGACAAGGGTTTCCTACGCAGAATGGCCTCGAAGTTTTTCTTAAATGGAGAGGTATTGTACAAAGGGACCTCAGATTTGAATCTCTTAAGGTGCATCGATGAGGATGAAGCTCAGTACATGATGAAAGAGGTGCATAGCGGTGTTTGTGGACCTCACATGAATGGACATTTGTTAGCAAAGAAAATCATGAGAAACCGGGTACTTTTGGCTTACCATGGAGCGCGATTGCATAGACTTTGTCCGGAGATGTATTAAATGTCAAGTGCATGGCGATGTTATACGCGTTCCTCCACCGAATTGCATAACATGATTACCCCATAGCCCTGCTCAATGTGGGTATGGATGTGATCGGCACAATTGACCCTCCTGCTTCAAATGGACATCGATTTATATTGGTGGCAATTGAGTACTTTACCAAGTGGGTCGAAGCAGAATTCATTCAAGCACGTGACAAAGAAGGTGTGGCAAATTTCTTAAGAAATCATATCATATGCCGATTTCGGGTGCCAGAAACATTGATTACAGACAATGCTAAGAATCTCAACAATGACAGGGTGGACGGGCTATGCGAACAGTTCAAAATCAGACATCGCAACTCTGCCATCTATAGACCGCAGATGAATGGAGCCGTGGAGGCCACAAACAAGAATTTGAAGAAGATCATTCGCAAGATGACTGAAAAGCATCGTGACTGGCATGAAAAGCTTCCTCATGCACTAATGGCATACCGGACTTCTATTCGAACTTCAACTGGAGCAACCCCCTACTCGCTCATGTATGGAATGGAAGCTGTGCTACCTGCCGAGGTCGAAATCCCTTCATTGCGTATTCTAATGGAAACTAAGTTGGAAGAGGCTGATTGGTTAAAGCAACGTTATGAACAACTGTCCTTGATTGATGAAAAATGACTTAATGCTATTTGTCATGGCCAATGCTACCAAAAATGCATGGCCCGGGCCTACAATAAGAAAGTCCATCGGCGTACATTTGAGGAAGGCGACAAAGTACTTAAACGAATTTTGCCAGTGCAGGATGAGGCCAAAGGCAAATTTGCTCCAAATTGGCAAAGGCCATTCATTGTTCAAAAGGTATTACCTGGCGGAGCACTCATTTTGGAATAGATGGATGGACAGACATTCCCTCAACCTATCAACTCAGACATGTGTAAGAAGTTTTTTATTTGATTATGCAAATTTCTTTTAGGAAATCACGCAAGGGACGAGACAAAAGTCAGGCCATCTTCCTTTCCAATCAAAACATTTCATCCCTAGTCATCCCCTTTGAGCTATCAAAATAATAATTTTCGTTTGACAGTCCCTGAAAATTGCAAACCCCCATACTGGGCAAATTTATTTTGAAAGAAAGATGGAAAAGGAAAAACGAAAGAATCCCACACTGGGGCAAATTTAGTTTTTAAAAGAAAAATGCAAAAGTGAGGAAAATGCAATGAAAGATGCAAAGAGAGAAAAATTCCAATCAAACAGGGGCAAATTTTCCTCAGTGTCGTTCAAAATTGGAGATGATTTCAAAATGATGCAATCTCAGGTTATTTCACACTTTTCATTAAAATTTTTTTTTTTTGCTTTCAAGCCTCAACTTTCTTGAAACCTGACCTCATTACAAAAGCCCAAAAGTCCTGGCTTTCGTCACTTGCTGTATTTCTATTAGGGATTTTGCTAATCATGTAACGACCCCATTTTCCCCTAAGGCGAACCAGAGGGGTCAACGGGCCGCCTGCCCAGCTCTCGACAGGACTCAGTCGTTCACTACGGTCCTCAAGTAAATTTCAATATAAATCTCGTAATTACATCAAATCCTTCAAGAATTACATATCACAAACGTAGCGGAAAGTACACGTACATCAAATCAAGTCCAATCATTCATTACAAACTCTGCTACTAAGCTATTACACAAAAGGCAATCCAAATTCAAACCGTACACGGTATAATCCATCCATTTCAATTTCTAACAGTCACCCTAGCTCAACTATTATACAAAACAAATCCAAATCTAAGCTATGCAAGATACATGCCATCCAGGCACACAATTAATGTAATACGAACGCTTCCTTTGCCTCGATCCCTGTGGGGAGAAGAAAAACATTTGGGGGTGAGCTAGAAGCTCAGCGAGTGAACAGTAAAAGCAGTAACTAAATAAACTTAACAGTAGTGTATTTCAATGCTATCATGGAATAACGGTCCAATGTGCAAATAATGCTCTTTGGAGCCAGTGAAAATCCTTGTACTTAAAATCCAACACTCCCTTAGATCAAGTAAGCAAATAAACAGAAACAAGGAGCCATCGTGCTCCAAAGAAAGCATACCCAGTAATGGAGACGTTGGTTCTAAGCACAAGATTTTCCCAAGAACTCAATAAAGCCAAAATGTTATGGCACACACACATACACAATGATATGCAATCGTGTAAGCAATGCAAAAATTATTTCAAAAGTAACTTTTGGAGAAATAGT